GCTAAGGCATAATGTGCAAATCTGTTGCATTAAGTGTCCTATGCTCAAGAGTACAAGTTTTGTTAAAGCTAAAGAAAAATATATACACTTTCTGCTAAAGCTAAAAGTGTAAAACTGTTATATTTATAAACATACCCCTGTTAAAAGATAAAAAAATTGTACACCTGTTAAAAAGAGCCTTACACTAAGTAAAAGTGATGTTGATAGCTTATTCTGAGGCCATTGTGGTTATGATGTAACAGCTTTTACTTGACATGGAACTTTGTATATTCAAATGTTCCTGTATAAAAGTTTCTTTATGTTTGGATGGAGCTAAGGATTTCATACTATTAATAGGACTTTGTAGAATTTAGTCTTACTGTGATGTGGCTGTGCCTGAGAAATAGGATTATTTATGAATTTTCTTTTCTTTCTTATGTACAGTACTTAATATATTTATTACTTGAATATGCTCTTATGTAAGAACACATTATAGTCTTTTTTATATATTGTTTGAGTGGTTTTAAGGTTTATAAATGGATAAAGTTTTTTTTTTTGTAGTATATTTCATTATTATTATAAAGTTTATCAAGTTAAAACCATATTGATTTGCTTTTACAAGTCAAATTATGTAAATGAAAAGACATCAGTGAAGATTAATACTCTGTTTAAGCTGTCATTTTTAATTGCTATTATATTTTGTACACAATGCTCTCCGAGTTGAATGTGTGCATTATTGTAGTTCTGAATTTGCACACAGTACTGTACACACCCTTTCCATCTCATTTAACTGGTAATGGAATAAAGAGAACAGATATTGTGTTACTTATTATAATACTCATACAAGGTGTGTAAGCTGTATAGCTATAACTGTGGGTTCCTAAAGACTGTAGAGGTTCCTCCACAAACCTGGTAGCTCCACTTTTCACATTCTTTCACTTACATATTTGTCTTCCCCAAGTCTTCCTACAACATACATGTATCATTAGTTCCTCATGCTTCATAATGTTTTGATTGCAACCATTAGATCCGATGTTTAAAAATTACTATTGTGTGATTTTATGCAAACCTGAAAGATAGAGATACTGTATGTCGAGGAAAACGATGTGATATCAGCAAGCCACAGGAAGTTGAATGCATTTTATTAACTGTGGGAGTGAGTGAATATGGTTAGAATAACAGCAAGAATATTTTGAGCAGGATGATCAAAGTGCACAGCTGGAATACAGATAGTACATTGTATATCTAATAGAGGGATACTGATTTATATAGAGAAAAGAGTGGAGGCTTACTCTGAAGATTCTGCTTAGTTCACCTCATTATGGAGTAAGAAGTAGCATATCAATTATAGAAAGGCAAAAGGCATATATGCTTGTGACTGCATTTGAACGTTGAGGTTGTTGAAGAGACACCCAGATTAAAAGAACTTATTTGGCATTTCTGCTAAGTTAGGAAGTTGTTTGAAACAAGGTGGAAACCCCATTTGCAGACCAGCATTTTATTGAGATAATGTTTTGCTCAAGGTAAACTCAGTTTGGAGGGATATATTGTGTATTTTTATACGTACACCTACCATCCGACTTACGACCTGCTCGACTTACGACCACTCGACTTGCGACCACTCGACTTACGACCGTGTTTTTTATGCCAAATTTCTGGGAAATAAACAACTATTTGTGTTGTACACAGTGTTTATCCTAAACCTTACAGTATAAAATACAGTACTAACAACATAAAAAGTAAAGTAAAACATGAAATACCAAAATAAAACAATAAAATAAAGTCATTACAAAAATGTTTTGTTGATATTCAGTAGTAAAGTCTTGACTTACGACCATTTCGAATTACGACCGGTTTCTCGGAACCGAACTCGGTCGTAAGTCGGATGGTAGGTGTATATACTTCTAAACTGTTGTATTCTGAGCACCTCTGCAAAAACAGTGATTATGTGTGAGTGAGGTGAAAGTGTTGAATGATGATGAAAATATTTTCTTTTTGGGGATTTTCTTTCTTTTTGGGTCACCCTGCCTCGGTGGGAGATGGCCGACTTGTTAAAAAAAAAAAAAAAAACACACACAAAAATAACACATACTTTTGTTCAACCCAAGACAACATGGTTTAGCAGGTCACTTCTGCCTCTTGCAGTTGTTGGACCATTATGACACAAGGCAAAAGCCTTCGACAGGTGTGATCACAGTGTAATAATGCATATAATGAGTGCCAGAGGTAAAGGTAAAAAAAAATAGGCACTTGAATTTTAACTTCCTAGCAAGTAGAACCCAAAGAGTATAAAGAACAAAGTAAAGCCAGAGGATACCATAGTAAAAAGCTCTGTTCCCAAGAAACAGTACTTGCCCCAGTTCTCTCTCATTTTAATAGCACCCCATCATCTTTTGCTTTTGATACCAGAATTTGCATGAGTGGCATCCATTGAGAACACATCTGATATAAATCAAGCTTTTCAGTGCACAACTGAAGACAGTACAATATGATGTTTGATGAGAACAGATTTCATTTACTCTGCTGTGGAAAAATTTGAGGAAATGGAAACTGATAATTTCTGAAAATCTCACATTCAAGGATAACAAGTGTTGTTATCACAACTGAAAGAGAAATGATAGGCTGGATAATTAGAGCCATCAAAACAGAGATGCCAAGCCAGTGATGATATTCCTTAAATCACTTTATTTCTTTAGACTGGAAAATTGCTCTATACTGACAGCCCCCCTTTTAAGGCAAGCAAAATTTCAGATATGGAGAATATATAGAGAACCTTCACTGCCTATATAAATTCAGTCAAGCACTTGAATTACTGAATTACTGTGAATGCTTGAAGTCCCTTAACCCTTTGACTGTCGCAAGCCCCTTTCTGAAACTGTCATTCTGTTTTGCAAAATTTTTGGGAAAAAACAAATTATTTTTTCTCATGAAATGATAGAGAATCTTTTCCCAATGGTAATGACACCAAAAGTGCGAAATTTGGTCGAAAACTCACGGAATTACACTCCTGCAAAATTAGCGGTCTCGGCGACATATACACATCGGCGATTTCGCCAAATTTGAGCCCTGTTTTTCACCAATTCTGTTGTTCTAGTTGACCAAACTCATAGCTATTTCTTTAGAACTCCATTTTTTCTATCAATTGAGTACAAGAAACCGCCCATTTACCGATTTGAACTACCCAATAAAGTGATCAGAAATTGGCAATTTGGCCAATTTCATGCAAATTAAAAAAGATGCCAATTTCAAAATAGGGTCCAGAATAAACATTGTAGACATTCTTGGCACTAAAATAACTTATCCTCTGTTCATTAGTCATGTCTCTAGGCCCCTCTTATATTAGTATTGCTTTCTATTTTGATTTTTTTATTCATACAAAAAATGCAAAATTTACTGTTATGCAGACTACTGCATTATTGTAAAAATGGTATAAATAATATCAGTGCACTAGTGAAAGAATATTAGATTCCCCAGTTGACGTGTATTGGACGTGTGGTTTGATTTGCTTGCTCTTGAACATTGGTAAAGATCGAACATTTCCGCTACTTTGAGCTCAATTTTTAGGTCGTTTTCATTGTGAAACTAATCAAAATCATCTCTATTTCTGCAATATGTTTTCCATTTTATCACGTGAGACCATGAAAACGAGAATACAGTGGACCCCCGGTTAACGATATTTTTTCACTCCAGAAGTATGTTCAGGTGCCAGTACTGACCGAATTTGTTCCCATAAGAAATATTGTGAAGTAGATTAGTCCATTTCAGACCCCCAAACATACACGTACAAACGCACTTACATAAATACACTTACATAATTGGTCGCATTCGGAGGTAATCGTTATGCGGGGTCCACTGTACAACGATAAATACTATACGAAAATACACCTCAAAGTCGGTGTTTTAATCCAAAAAAATGATCATTTTTTTTTTTTCATTATGCACAGCGTGCTGCAGGATTTTTTGTGTGGTGCACACTGACCAAACAGGCCCATTCTCTCACATGTGGGCCTACCAGCTTTCTCCTGCTTGATTTGAAGCCGCTAGAATTAGAGTATATTTACGTCTGAAACACTGGCTCGTAAGACGTATATATATGACCAAAACAGTCAAAGGGTTAAACTGCAATGTAGGCAAGAAAGATGCATCACAAATTTCACTTAAATAAATTCTGGAGGGAAAATTTCAAAATCTGCACATAGCAATCATTCCCTATGAAAGCAAGAGGCCCAGCAAACAGTGCAAAATAGCCCAGTGAAGATCAAGGGTGCAATATCTGGAGAGGGTTTTGGGGGTCAATGCCCCTGCAGCCTGGTCTGTGACCAAGCTCATGGTGGATCAGGGCCTGATCAACCAGGCTGTTACTGTTGGCCGCATGTAAACCGGTGTATAAACCACAGCCCGGCTGGTCAGGTATTGACTGTAGATGCCTGTCCAATTAAGAGAGAACTCAGGAAGTACAAAGCTGTTACATGAGAGGAATTACCAGTAGAACCCTTGCTGTCTTCAAGAGGAAATTGATCAGTTCGTTATCAGCTAGGCTGTGGTGCATATTGGACTGCATTCGTCTAGCTCCTTCAGCCTGGTTGATCAGGCCATCAGAGTCCTGGTCTGGGACCAGGCTGTGTTGAAGTCAGTACAATAACCATCATGTCAAAGAGGAGCTTGATGAAGCTTTATCCTGAGTGAACTGTTTTGTAGATAGAAGCTTGTTCTACATATTGTCTTCATGCCTATACCTGTGAGCATTATGCTAGCACATGCAAGGGTAGAAATAAAACTATTAGTTTAATAATGTATATTTTTTGTTTGAATAATAAAACTCAGCCTCCTTAATAAATCATACTTTACATTTCACTGTGAACACTTTTTTTTGGTACTGCATTTAAGAATTATGATATAAGTCTTTGTAAATTTTTATATTGCAAGGTGTTTAGAATTAGTCATTCACATTACTTTGGGAGAGAGAAACATGCATTTTTTAAACTTTTTTGCTCTTAATTAAAAAAAATATGCCCACGCAGCCAGTTCTTGTGCCCAACGATGGCCAGAGTCCATTACCAGATGGATGGGAGGAGCGCCAGGATGCCAATGGCCGCACTTACTATGTGAATCACAATGCCCGAACAACACAATGGGACAGACCAACCAGGTACAGTTATTATTTTTGTTTTATGGCCATGTTACTTAAAAAATGTTGGTGCTAAAATAACATTTAATATCTTAAAAGTTAATAAAAGTATTAGTCAGAGGGCTGAAGAGGGGTTGTTGAGGTGGTTTGGCCATTTAGAGAGAATGGATCAAAGTAGAATGACATGGAGAGCGTATAAATCTGTAGGGGAAGGAAGGCCGGGTAGGGGGTCGTCCTTGAAAAGGTTGGAGGGAGGGGGTAAAGGAGATTTTGTGGGCGAGGTGCTTGGATTTCCAGCAGGCGTGCATGAGCGTGTTAGAGAGGAGTGAATGGAGACAAATGGTATTTGGGACTTGACAAGCTGTTGGAGTGTGAGCAGGGTAATATTTAGTGAAGGGATTCAGGGAAACCGATTATTTTTATATAGACGGACTTGAGTTCTGGAAATGGGAAGTATAATGCCTGCACTTTAGAGGAGGGATTTGGGATATTAGCAGTTTGGAGGGATATGTTGTGTATCTCTATATGTATATGCTTCTAAACTGTTGTATTCTGAGCACCTCTGCAAAAACAGTGATTATGTGTGAGTGAGGTGAAAGTGTTGAATGATGATGAAAGTATTTTCTTTTTGGGGATTTTCTTTCTTTTTTGGGTCACCCTGCCTCGATGGGAGATGGCCGACTTGTTAAAAAAAAAAATCTTAAAAGTGCAAGTCAGTATTAAGATACTGATATGACAGTCTAACACCAATATTTATTAATTTTTTCATTCTGAATACCTGATTTTTGACCAATTTTCATGAGTATAAAAGGAAGAGAAATTTATTACCTTTGAGCACAGTGAGAATTAAAGTACAGTAGGGCCCCACTTTATGGCATTTCGCTAATACAGTCATTTCAAATTATGACCAAAACTCTCTATACGGTTCCCCCCACCTGACTTTCTAATACGGTCACCGCACCTCACCCGGTTTGTTTACATTCTATGTGAGATCCGTAAGCACTACATCTCTCCATTATGTCTGGAAACTCCAAAATTTCAAGTGTTTTTAAAAGTCATTTCATATTTTATATATACAGTGGACCCCTGGTTTACAATATTATTTCATTCCAGAAGTATGTTCAGGTGCCAGTACTGAACGAATTTGTTTTCATAAGGAATATTGTGAATTAGATTAGTCCATTTCAGACCCCGAAACATACACGTACAAACGCACTTACATAAATACACTTACATAATTGGTCGCATTGGGAGGTGATCATGAAGCGGGGGTCCACTGTACTCTGATAATTATACTTATGTATACCTGTACCTAAATAAACTTACACACTGTGCTGGCATGCATTAAAATCAGTAATAGTGTCTTATGTCTCCAGACGCCATATTAGTAATGATAATAATCATCAAGTCTCATTAAATGTCGTATATTACGTTAATATACATATTTTCATTAATCCTTCTATGATATTTTTTTCAAAATTATATAATAAACACGATACATAACATATAAAGATGATAAATGCACCCCACAGTAGAATAAATAGACATAAATATGAGATGTGGTAGCCAGACAACTTGTACAAGTGATGGCAAGAATAACATTTTCTCTAGTCCAACATAAGAGAAAATATGTTACCGAGGGTAACTTTAGAAAATTATTCCTTTCATATGTAAGTAAGTTTTTTCAGGTATACACAAATACAGTTACATAGATTATCACACATAGCAGCATATGTGTAAAGTACTTAGGATAACCCAAAAAAGTCAGAGTGACTTATTACCTTTGCCTTCACTCAGCATCATTTCTTCTAAAAATGGTGTTACATGAGAATGGGAGTGTTCCTCTTTATTTATTCTACCGTATCAATGTAGAGACAACTTGTACACAATGTAACTTGTACACAAACCAGACGTGTACACTGTTTGTTTACAAAACTTGTGTTCACCTGTGTACATAACTCTGTGCCTCTCCTCCCTCATGTACTCATTCTCTCTCTCTCTCTCATTTATTCGTTTTATCTCGTTTACTCACCCCTGACCCTACATTAGCACTACAAATATTTTAAGGTAAGTAATGAGTGAACTGTATATACATTTTATCACTATGGGGTGCTTAACCATTTCAGGGTTTCCGACGTACTAGTACGGCTTACGCACCAGGGTTTTTGACTTACTAGTAGTACGCCTAAATTCTAGCGCCCTCAAATCTAGTGAGAGAAAGCTGGTAGGCCTACATATGAAAGAATGGATCTGTGTGGTCAGTGTGTGCAGTATAAAAAAATCCTGCAGCACACAGTGCGTAATGAGAAAAAAAAACTTTGACAGTGTTTTTGGTTTAAAACAGTGTCTTTGCACTGTATTTTCGTATGGTATTTATGATGGTATTCTAGCTTTCCTGGTCTCATTTTATAGAATGGAAGACATATTACAGAAATTGAGACGATTTTGACTGGTTTTACAATGAAAAGTACCTTGAAATTGAGCTCAAAGTAGCAGAAATCTTCGATTTTTGCCAAAGTTCAAAAGTAAACAAATCATGTTACGCATCCAATACACGTCAACTGGTGAGTCTAATATTCTTTCACAAGTGCGCTGATATAATTTATACCATTTCTACACTAATGCAGTAGTCTGCATAGCAGTAAATCTTCTATTTTTTGTGAGAATAAAAATTCAAAGTGGAAAGCAAAGGAATGTAAGAGGGGGGTGGGGACGTGACTAATGAACAGAGGAAATGTTATTTTAGTGCCAGGAATGTCTTTCTTGTTTATTCTGGACCCTATTTGGAAATTGGCATCTTTTGAAATTTTTGTGAAATTGGCAGAATTGCTAAATTCTGACCACTTTATTGGATAGTTGAAATTGGTAAATGGGTGGTTTCTTATACTCATTCTAGCGAAATAGTTATGATTTTTGGCAACTAGTACACTGGAATTGGCTGAAAATAGGCTCAAAGTGGGCAAAATCGCTGATGCGTAAACATCGTCGAGACTACTAACATCGCGAGAGCATAATTCTGTAAGTTTTCCATCAAATTTCATACTTTTGATGCCATTATGATCGGGAAAAGAACAAGTCTGGGAGAGGGCCTGGCGACCCTGAAAGGGTTAAATGTAATAGAATATTATGTATGGGTGGGGTGGCCTGGCTGGCTACCATGCATACAACACTTGATTTTTTACAATAAATACTACTCATCTCACCCTAGATTAAAACTACAAATATTTTAAGGTCAGTAATGAGTGAACTGTATATGCATTTTATCACTGGGATGCTTAGCCCTTTCAGGGTCCAGAGGCCAAGAATTTTCAAAAAATAATTTTGTTATTTTTTCTTATGAAATGGTAGAGAATCTTTTTCTGAAAGTAATAAAACAAAGAGTACAAAATTTGATGGAAATTTGACGAAATTATGCTCTCATGAATTTTGATGTGTCAGCGATATTTACGCATCGGCGATTTTGCCGACTTTGACTTCCATTTTAGGCCATTTACATTATTCCAGTCAACCAAATTCTTAGGTATTTCACTAGTATTACTTCTATTCTATTGATTGAGCACAAGAAATTGCCATGTCAGCTGTTTCAACTACAAAATAAAGTGATCGGAAATTGGTAATTTGGCCAATTTAATGCAAAGTTAAAAATATTCTAATTTCAAAATAGGGTTCAGAATAAACAATGCAGGCATTCTGTAGGCATTCCTGGCACTAAACTAACATTTCCTCTGTTCATTAGTTATATTTTCAGGCTTTACAAATGAATTCCACTTTAATTTTTTATTCACATAATGAATTTTTATTCAAACCAAAAAATGGAAGATTTACTGTTACACAATATTGTAATAATTGTATAAATAATATCACCACATTTGTGAACGTATATTAGACCCACCAGCAGTCGTATATTTGTCAGCATAGTTGCTGATCCCTGTGTTATATAGCATAGCATATTAGTATCGTCCATGTGCTTTAGATAGGAGATCCCTTGTAGGCCTGTGACTTTGTGTGACGTCATGGGATGCGCATGTGTAGGCTCGTACCTCTGCCCCGGTCTCACTCGGCGGCAGACCATCCAGACTAGAACACGGCAAGGCTGGGCTCCATTCCTCATCATCTCAGTCTGACAATATATGTTACCATCCAACAAGTGTGTCTACCTTCAATCCTCGATATCTCCATTTAAGAACCCCTACGATAAAATGGTGGCAGCGGAGGGCCTGTAATTCTGACGATTACAGCGATTTCTGGAGATAAATTTCGACCGAGCCGGCCATCTTGTGAGTAGGCCTACCGAGGTTAACGCCAGCCTGCTACCTCAAGCCAGTTCTCCCGCCCAAGCTCCTACCAGCTTCTACATTATTCACTGGTCAGTCTCTTTGTATTAGTGTATCTGCTTATTTGCATCACTCCCGAGGGGTTGACCCGAGTTTGCAAAATAAGCCAGCTTCCAGTCTGTGGTGAGGAAGCCCAGTCGAGCCTAGTCTACCCCATCCAGTTCTTTTGCCTGCCAAGCCAGCTTCCACTTCTGTTGTGCTCATCGTGTGAAGTTGTCAAGCCATTCTGTGTGAAGGGTTAAGATAAGCCAGCTAGCAACTAACCCAGGTGTCTTACCCCAGTACTCGAGCAAGCCACGTGAGTAGTCTTCATCGCTTGTGATTCAAGCTCCAAGCATTCTGAGTGCTCTTTTTCATCCTTGTGGTGTTGTAGTATTTCGTGGGTTTGTTTTTAAGCCGGTCAGCTTAGAAATATTTTCGCGGCAGTGTGGTTGTTCTCAGTGAGGCTTACGCCGTTCAACCCATAGACCCAACCACTCACGATATTTTATCATAGGGGTTCTTAAATGGAGATATCGAGGATTGAAGGTAGACACACTTGTTGGATGGTAACATATATTGTCAGACTGAGATGATGAGGAATGGAGCCCAGCCTTGCCTTGTTCTAGTCTGGATGGTCTGCCGCCGAGTGAGACCGGGGCAGAGGTACGAGCCTACACATGCGCATCCCATGACGTCACACAAAGTCACAGGCCTACAAGGGATCTCCTATCTAAAGCACATGGACGATACTAATATGCTATGCTATATAACACAGGGATCAGCAACTATGCTGACATATTAGATGTGTGAGATCATTTGTTTACTCTTGAACATTGGCAAAAATTGAACATTTCTGCTATTTTGAGCTCAGTTTCAACCCATTTCCATTACTAAAACCAATCAAAGTCATCTCTATTTCTGTAATATATCTTCCATTCTATCAAATGAGACCAAGAAATAGCAAATACAACTATAAAAAACATACGGAAAAACACTGCAAAGTCGATGTTTTAATAAAAAATTACGGTCTCAGTTTTTTTCTCTCATTATGCACTGTGTGCTGCAGGATTTGTTTTATGTGGTGCACACATACCATATAGATGTATTCTCTCATATCTAGGCCCAAATTTACCGCTCACAGCTTATCAGAGTGAGCTGAGCTCATGGCGTAGATCTACGGTTTGGACCCTCAACGTATATCTAGATCTACAGTACGGACCCTGAAAGGGTTAAATGTCGTAGAATGTTATGCGTGGATGAGGTGGCCTGGTATGGTAGCCCTGCTGGCTACCATACATACCACAATTGATTTCTTACAATAAATACTACTCATCTCACCCTAAATTAAGACTACAAATATTTTAAGGTAAGTAATGAGTGCACTATATATGTATTTTACTTTTTTATTGTTTTTTAATGCCTAGTTCTATTGCTAACTTAATATATGTTAGTGTAAACTTGTTATCTAGTATTTGTATGCATTTGTAAGTGGAAAAAAAGGGTGTTCCACTTTACGGCGATTTTCGCTTTACGGCGGTAGCCTGGAACCTAACCTGCCATATAAGTGGGGCCCTACTGTACAAGGTACCGACATGACAGATATAACGGAGAGAGTAGTATGGAGCCTTTACTAATCACCAGTGTTTTGCTTTTGCGGGAACTTTATAAAGTTAATAGAAGAGCATAGAACAAGAAGTATATACAGTGTATATAAAAAGCAGTGAGGTGAAGGCGAAGATGATAATAGGAAGGGCCAGTGCTGTTATGTCTGGTCTGCAGTTTTTTTTCTGGTAGAGTAAGTAATGTGTCAAAGGGTTGAGTATTTGAAGGCTTCCCTAGTTTTGGAAAACTGTCAGAGTTGGAAATCAGGACAGATCCTACACTGTTCCTCCTAGATTTATTCCCTTAATGAAATGGTCTGATGCTATATTGATCTGGTGCTGAACTGATCATCATGAAAGGGGATAAATGCAGAAGAATATCTGAAAATAGTCCTGATAACTACCTCTGACACTATTTCCTTAAGCTATATTAGCTTTCAATTAAATAAAATTCCAGTACGTTACTTATTCCTCCAGAAATGGAATTGTTAACTAAGACTTGACATAATGGCCATGCCCCTTCCTTTGTTCCATTCATCTACACTTCACTGCCTTTCATATATACTGTATGTGCTTTATGTATCTGTATTCTCTATTAACTTGATAAAGTTCTTGAGTGAGCAAAACATTGGTAAAAAATAATCAGTATTTCCTATCTCTTATATGTCCATCCTGTGATTGTGTAGGAGAGGTGCATTCTAACCATCTAGTTACCTGGCACTCTATTTTTATGAAAATGACCAGTATATTAATGGAAAAATATGTATACTGATTATCTCTGGTCTGCTACTATGTATGGAAATGTTTCATCAGCTTCTTTCTCATTAAGTGGTGTTTTGATGAAATGTCTCCAAAATATATAGAGATCATGTGGGGGTGTAAATGAGTTGGCTGAGTTATACCTCATTAATACAGTGGGTTAGGTTCCAGACTGCTGCCATAAGGCAAATATTGCCTTAAAGTGAATCAAAGCCTATTTTTTTCACTTGCCAGTGTATATAAAAGCCTTGAAACATGTTTATACTTTCATTTCTTAAGTGCCTAATAGCATTAGGCCTAAAAACAATGCAAAAGTAAAATTAATAAATAAACAAAATTTGCAAATTGCCAAAAACCATCTTAAGAGCAAGGCAAATACTGAAAACAATAAACAAATACAGCCTCTCCTCACTTAGCGACATACTCGTTTACCGACGATTCAGACTTATGACAGGCTCTCTGACCAGTATGCATACCTGAATAATGTATATTAGAGCTGATTTCCTCTTGTTCTGTTTATTACAGTATACAGTACCCTACTGTATAAACATTACCAGAAATGTTATAAATGGTGCAAAGGTGACATTAAAGCAGTATCAAAGATGGTTGACACAAACTCACTACTATTATAGTATGCTCCTTATTTAGTGACGAATTCATTTACTGATGAATTCATTTACTGACGTGGTCTTAGGAATGGAACCTCGTTGTTAAGTGAGGAGAGGCTGCATAATTGAAAAGTGCTGTATTAGCAAAGTGCTCTAAAGCGAACACCGTATTAATGAGGTATGCCTGTATTGAATTGTGGAATTTGACATGTTGAATATACTTGCAAGATTGGTAGCTAAGGTTAAAAGGAGATTAAATGAGGCAGCCTTTATGTGAGAGAGTTGTTTTGGCACAGGAATTTGCTGTCTTATATGTGGATACGGAGTTAGGGAACAAGCATTCTTTCTACCATATCTGTTAAAAGAAGGCATGTTGTATGTTGTAATGTAGGGGACATTCTTCAGAATTGGCATGTTATATTCAGACATGTTACGTTAATTGAAGAACATGAGGGGGAGGAATTGGGTTACATTCCAGGTATCTGTGTTAGCAGTTTTACAATCCACTTTTCTTGACTAAATTGTGCAAAGCAAATAGACCTATACCAAACATAAGTTCATTAATAATAAAGAAAAGTAATAATATAAATACTGTATGTGGTAGGCTGTCCAGGTGGTTGGTAAGGAATGCTAGATCATGTTTGGTGTTCACACAATCATAATTTTAAACTGATGATTTCTTGACCAAATTGTACCAAACAAATATGAGTCCAAATTAATTACTCAAAACAAACATATACCAGAGATCAATGCATTGGATGAAGTAATAGCTGAGAAACAATAGTGTAATAAGTGTAAGTTTACTTTATTACAGTGTACATGAATAGATCCCTTTGTATTTTGTATTTATGTTTATAATCTTGCAAAGCATATTTTTAACAGCTCTCAAGCAAACAATGAACAGGAGCGGTTTCAACGTATGGAATCTGCACAGAATGAATTTAGAAATGAATTTCGGAGGAGGTTCCACATTTCAGTGGATGACAATGAAGTGTCCAGAGCAGGAGATAATTCTGCTATCTTACAACGGGTAGGTTTGTTATTATTAAAATTTAATTATTCAGTATACTATCTTATTTACTGCTGTATCTGTCAACTTTACTGGTAAACCTTGGAGCCATTTTTTCCACTGTAGAAATTGCAGGCTTTAGTAATGGGAAATTTCTATTACATTCCTTAGTAATTTATAAAAAAAATTGTACCAAACATATCATGCACTGAAATTAATAGTAAAATAATGTCACATGCATCCAAAGGTAAGAATCAGAATAATTAAGGAAATATTAAAAGAAGTTTAAATTTGAAATATTAAATTTTAGTTAGTTATTCTTGTCATGTTAAAGTAGCTTTTAACATTATACGTATTTGGAATATCAATACCTAGGATGAGAGGTAAATCTTGCAACAAACAACTAACATCCAGTATACATTAAATGCATGTGAAAGTGTATGTGCATATACTGTAAGTGTAACACACTTGTCTGACTTTTCTTCTGAATTTCCTTTCTAGTTATTGCCCTTGTAGTGTTCCCTTTCAATTCCATAGGAAAGTGGGTTAGAATTCTTCCTTCATAAGCAGTCATAGAAGGTAACTAAAATGCTCAAAGGAAGGGGGATGGGTTTATTACAGATACAAAGGAAGCATAATTGTTAATGTTAAGAAAGAAAGGTAGCTAGAGATAATAGTAATAGAGAAACAGAGCTAAAAGAAGAGAGCAAATTTCAGTGGAGCGGAGTAAATTGGGTTAAATTAAGCATATTTTAGAGCAGTAGAGCTAAAGAAGGAGGGAGTGATATAAGTGTTTAAATTCCAGAATTAATTTGATTAGAGTAAAAATAAGATGTGATAGGTGAGTTAAAAGTACGTGTTTATGCACTTGGGTGTAAGAGAAGTGAATGTTTAAGGAGTTTTGAACAAAATAAAACAAATTGTGGGTGACCTAAATGCAAAAGTAGGAGAGATTGTTTTAGAGGAATGAATGGAGACGAATGGTTTTTGGGACCTGACGAACTGTTGGAGTGTGAGCAGGGTAATATTTTGTGAGGGGATTCAGGGAAACTGGTTAGCTGGACTTGCTAATATTTAGTGTGTGCGCCATCATAATTTTAAAATAAATGTTTCTTGGCCAAATTATTCCAAACAAATGAGAGTCCACCAAAATTACACCAAAGGTCAATGTATTTGATGAAGTAAAAGGCGAGAAAAAATAAATCAGAAGTTTTAGTGTAGGTTTACTGTATTACAGTACAAAAGAGGCAGAAGAGACGTTACACAAAATGTGTTAGAATTTTTTATGACTCCCATCATCTCATACTAGTTTTCTTGATCTACAAGAAATCATCTAAAATTTTAGATGATTTCTGTATGCACAGATCAAATGATAGTGACTTAATCTTGGTAGAGTGTAACTTTAGACCTCAAGAATGTATTATATCACATCACAATTGAGATTTATGTTAAAAAATTCCTTGTTATTCCATCTTTAGGGTTTTAACTACTAATTCAAAATAATGCCTTCTTGTTTGGCTGGCAAATGGTGCTGACATTTTACTCAGTGTTGAACTTTATCAAGTCACAACTTGGTAAAAGTCATAAGTTGATATTCATGACTTAGTAAAGCACAATACTGAACAAAATGTTATCAGAACAACGACTAACGACTTGCTGTGCCCCTTGAGTGAATGATGGGACTTGTAGCATGGGAGGCAAAGCTTATTCAAGGGGAGATGGAGGGCAGTGTCTTTAGACACATTGAATCTTAAAAGAATAATTTTTCTTTGTCAAAGGTGAGTATTTGTGATCCAAGCTGAGGATGGCAATGTCCTTTTACCAGACTGACATATGTGTGCATAATTTTTCTTATGTACATGTGTATATGTATTGTGTATACTGTGTGAATTGATACAGTTTATACATGAAGTAGCATATATGTATGGATGTACTGTTTTGTATAGTAATGTATACTGGCATGCATGACAAGTCACTCCTGCACCCTTTTCATCACTCGTGTTCCTGAACACGCTTTTTAACCCCACTGCCGTATTTAAACACTGTAGATATTGGTTCATGTTTTTATATTTAAACACTTCCTGCTAAGTGTGATGTTCAGCTCTTATTTTCTGGAAATGTGAGCAGGGTGTCATTTTTATTCATCACACAATGTTGAAGACATGGGAAGAGATCACTACAAAGCAAGGACATACATTTAGAGTAAACTACTTTATGCATCTATATATTTTTTCAGGATTACTGTATTGTTAGATGATGTAGTTATCTTTCCATACATTAATATGTATATACGTAGTTATAATCGGGTTGTATAATTCGTTTGTTTCATGCCAAAATGTATAATGTTTATGACTGTACAGCATTTTGAAAGAGTAACCTAAAATAAATAAAAATATAAATCTTGAACCTCTCAGTCAGATTGGAAAAAAAATGTTCAGTCAGTGTTTCTTTATAACATGCTATATCATACGAAAATGTCAACAAAAAATCAGTAAAGTATCCTTGAGCTAATAACATGTTCATGTGAAAAAGAGCAAAGCACTATTATTACAGGGGGGGGGGGGGTTCCAACAGAGTCTCATCTAGAGACTCTCTGGTCTTTTAAATTTCAGGCAAATCATTTGTAATCCTTATCCTATTATTCCATTGAAAATTATAGTAAAAGGGATAGTTATTTGTCGCACTTGCTTATAACTGCAGATTTACGTTCATTTAACAATTATTTTCTCAATTTCATATTTGTTAGACTTCATTTATAAGTTTTTTTTTTTTTTTTTTTTTTTTTTTCAACAAGTCGGCCGTCTCCCACCGAGGCAGGGTGACCCAAAAAAGAAAGAAAATCCCCAAAAAGAAAATACTTTCATCATCATTCAACACTTTCACCACACTCGCACATTATCACTGTTTTTGCAGAGGTGCTCAGAATACAACAGTCTAGAAGCATAAACATATAAAGATACACAACATATCCCTCCAAACTGCCAATATCCCAAACCCCTCCTTTAAAGTGCAGGCATTGTACTTCCCATTTCCAGGACTCAAGTCCGACTATATGAAAATAACCGGTTTCCCTGAATCCCTTCACTAAATATTACCCTGCTCACACTCCAACAGATCGTCAGGTCCCAAGTACCATTCGTCTCCATTCACTCCTATCTAACACGCTCACGCACGCTTGCTGGAAGTCCAAGCCCCTTACCCACAAAACCTCCTTTACCCCCTCTCTCCAACCCTTTCGAGGACGACCCCTACCCCGCCTTCCTTCCCCTATAGATTTATATGCTTTCCATGTCATTCTACTGTGATCCATTCTCTCTAAATGACCAAACCACCTCAACAACCCCTCTTCTGCCCTCTGACTAATACTTTTATTAACTCCACACCTTCTCCTAATTTCCACACTCCGAATTTTCTGCATAATATTTACACCACACATTGCCCTTAAACAGGACATCTCCGCTGCCTCCAACCGTCTCCTCGCTGCTGCATTTACCACCCAAGCTTCACACCCATATAAGAGTGTTGGTACTACTATACTTTCATACATTCCCTTCTTTGCCTCCATAGATAACGTTTTTTGACTCCACATATACCTCAACGCACCACTCACCTTTTTTCCCTCATCAATTCTATGATTAACCTCATCCTTCATAAATCCATCCGCCGACACGTCAACTCCCAAGTATCTGAAAACATTCACTTCTTCCATACTCCTCCTCCCCAATTTGATATCCAATTTTTCTTTATCTAAATCATTTGACACCCTCATCACCTTACTCTTTTCTATGTTCACTTTCATAATACTGATTCATAATACTGTACTGTAGAGTATATAAGAAGAGAGAAGGAATTAGGTTTCTCAGTTGGAAAAAAAGTGCACGTGTGTGTGTGTGTAAATGTGCATATGCATGTGTGCACTGTGTGCACACAAGTGGGAGGAAGAAAGAGGAAAATCTACCTCTTGAACTTATAAACATTTAAGGAGGGGCTTTTGTCATAGAGGGGTTGAACTTAGTGAACAGTTGATGAGGGGGATTGTTGCTGGGTGGTTATACAAGTTAGAGAGAGACTGCTGCTGCTACTCATGAAGTAGGTGATAGTCTAGCAAATCTATTGTCTAATTACAGTGGACCCCTGGTTATCGTAATTAATCCATTCCAGAGAGTGTGACTAAAACCGAATTTGACGATATCTGAATTCATTTTCCCTATAAGAAATAATGTAAATCCAATTAATCCGTTCCAGACACCCAAAAGTATTAAAAAAAAAAAAAAAAAGTTTTTTACATGAAATATACATTTACCTACTTTACCTACACAGAAAACAGTGAGACATGAAGAATAACACAATAATAACATGCCACTTACCTTTATTGAAGACTTGTTGATGTGTGGAAGATTGGAGGAGGGAAGAGGATGGAGAAGTTACTATTGTTGGGAAGGGGAATCCCCTTCCATAAGGACTTCAGGTACCAAGTTCTTTTCTGGGGTTACTTCCCTTCTTTGTTTCTTAATGTCACTAGGACCAGCTTGAGAGTCACTGCACACCTGTGGCACTAAATATCTGTCCAGAGAGCTATGTTTCTGGCATTTCTTTAAAATTTCCCTAAAATGAGACACAACTTTGTCATTGTACATGTTGCCAACACGGCTTGCAACAGCTTTGTCAGGGTGATGTTCATCCATAAATGTTTGCACCTCACACCACTTTGCATAGATGTCCTCAATCTCTGAAGAAGGCACCTTCTTCCATCTCTCTTCCTCCTCCTCTGAAGCAATTTCCTGAGCTATGGTCTGTTGCTGTTGCAGATGAAGGCCTTGCAGCTCTTCAGTGGTTAGCTCTTCATTGTGGTCCTCCACCAACTCTTCCACATCCTCGCCACTCACATCCAACCCCATGGAATTCCCCAATGCCACAATACTTCCACAACTGCCATAGGCTCATCAGGGTCAGCCCCAAACCCTTCAAAATCCATCTATTGGACACATTCTGGCCACAATTTTCTCCAAGCAGAGTTCAAA